AATCCCATTTACTATAGAAAGTCCAGGTTGGAGCCAAAGGATTTACCCTGACCTGAGGGGGGAACCTTCAATAGGACCCTCAGCCCTTTCCTTCCTCTTGGGAGGAGCAGAGAGAGGGACTGACAACACCTCAAAGCCTACTCCAATGCCCAAGAAGGACATATTTATAGACTTTGTGGCTGAGAAACGGCGTCAATTTTTATTTCACCTCTGCAAAGGCTATTTTGGGTTTGTCTGCCATGGAGACCAAGCCAGTGGAACCTGCCCCTTCCCCTGTGCAGAGGTGGATACCAAGCAAGGAGGAACAAGCCCATTCAGCCACCTGGGGTGGGAGGAGGTCCCTGCTGCCTGCAGGAAGACATGCCTGCCTTTCCAGCCCGTGCTGCAGGAGCTGAGGATGTTCTTCAAACTCCTCCCTGCTCTTTAAGCAATTCCTACCTCCCATTTCACCCCAGAAAGGACCACTAAGCTTCTGAGGCCTTTTGGAAGCCTAAATAAAGAGTCAGACACTATCAAGAGATTTGCAGTGGCGGAGGAAAACACTATTCATCTCCAGGAATAGATGCTGAGGGGATGGAAAACCAATGTCAAGCCTCTGGGACCTCCTGGATATACATGGAGTGTCAGTGTGGCCGGGGACCTGGCCTCCAGAAGAACACTGTAGCACATCTGGACCATCTTTCATAAAGACACAGGAATTCAGAGGGTCCTTCCACCCCAGTAAAAGTTTGGGATTTAGATGCTCAGCGCTACGGTTGAAACAATTTCCTTGATCTTTTATTACCCTGGTAAATAATTTATTGGGACAGGCATTTTAAAAAAATCCCATAAAAGACCCATAAAACATATTTATCACACAAAAAAGAAAGCCTGCTCCTTGGCTGCAACCAACAAGCTGAAAACTTGTTTGTATACTTCGCTGCACATAAACTAACCAATGCCTTGTGACAGCTTTAAGCTTTTTAACAGCTCTCTCCCTGTTGCTTTTTATTTCTATTTTTCTCTCTGTAACTTCAGAAGGTAAAAAAAGAACCCACCACAACAGCAGAGGCTTCTGCATTTGGACAGATATTGACAATCAGGAGCTGCACCCCCCTCTCCCTTGTTTTCCTGATGCCTGGGAACTTTAACAAATGATGCTTCTTTTGGCTGAAAAACACAACTCAGAGCTGTAGTTATTTGTAGCACGTTGGGACATGGGGGTTGGCAGCTGTACAAGCATCAAGTCACCTCTTTGTGCCTCAGTTTCCCTCCTGAGATCAGGAGCATCCACATCGCATTTCTGTCATCTTCTACTGGCAGTGGGCAGGGTCCTTTTCCTTGGTCCAAGCCTTTAATAAATGGAGAGTCCAAAAAAGGGCTGAGGGATGTTTTCTCTCCCAAAACATGCACAAGCCACAGGCACCAAAGCTTTTTGGCATTCCCTTGGACACCAGAGGTTCCAGTCGGATGAAGCCTGGCCAGCAGGATGAGAGCTCAGCCTGCTGCCAAAGTACAAAACCAGAACCCAAACCACATTTAGTGCTGCAGGCAGGATTCCTGGTGCCAGGCAGTCACACAGATCCAAAGGCAGCCCTTCCACATCCCCTGCGCTGTGCCCACAAACCCAGACCTCATCGGGGACAGCTTTGCCCAGCGAAATGCCAACAAACACAGGTGACCTGGCACGGGCCAACTGACCTGGGGATGGGCTGAGGTGGGCTTCTCCTCTTCCCAGGAGCAAGGGGAGGTGTGGGAGCAGCAGTGAGGCTGGATCAGGCTGGATCAAGCCTGGACATCCCCCGCCCACTCTTCCAAGCACTAGGAGGAGGGAGAGCACAGCCCTCCCACGCTGGGTCAGCAGAGCTGGCCATCAGCGCTGCCAGGGCGCACAGACACCCAGGCGTGCACAGAGCCTGCTCCAGATGGCATCTGGCAGAGGGAGCCAGGAGCAGTCTGGGTCACAGCGCTCCCAGGCACCTCCATAAACTCTCATCCCAGTCCTGGTTCCAACGCTGCAGTGATGTAATCCCATTAAATGCCTTTCCAGGACTCAGTCAACGCTCCAGCTGTGCTCCCCCCCTCCCTCAGCTTCCCAAAGCCCACACCAGGCACTTGAGCTACAGCTGCTTTCGTACCTGTGTGAGCCAAAACGCTCCTGTCCACAGTGGCTGGTTCTCCATATGGCTGCTCTCTGCCTCCTTCACATTCTCCTCAGGGAGATCAGAAGTTCAGAGCAAATTTGAGCCACCAGAGTGACCACGTGATGAAGAACAAGCTAGGAGAAGAAGGCCAGTGGTCAAAGTAAGCTGGGGCTGGGCTCTCTGCGTGGTGGGCATCACTTCTGTCCAGTTCCAGTGTAAACCAGTCTCCCAGGCAGGTTAAAGCCCAAGTCTTCTGTGCTTGTGGAGGCTGGGAAGGACAGTGTGGATGCAGGGGGCAGGGAGAGCCTTTTCTATCAGATCCAAGTGTGGTCACTTCTCTCCCACACTTCATCCCCTTTCTGACATCCCCCCCCTCCCTAGTCCTGTAGCCACCTCCCCCTAATGCCAGGGAGGCCACTGGTCTGGACAACCCCTGTGCCCACCCTCCCACACAGCTCAGCACAGGTTCCAGCAGGACACACCACCCTGGGTGGAGGCCAGAAAGGACCCATCACCCACAGCAGCACAGCAAGGCCACCAGGCTTCCCTCCTTCTCCTCGTGGGAGCTTCACCATTACCATCAGTGGAAGGAAGCAAAATGGACACCGTGAGCTGCAGTACAGACTAGACCTCTCCAAGTCTTCCTGGGATGGAGATACTGCTGTGGACCTGAAAGGGTCCTTCTGGCCAGGGAATAGCCCATGGAACAGCCTCTTCTGGGACTCCAGGCTCAACCCTGGGGCCTTTCCCACCTTCACCAAGTCCCACAGCTCCTTTGGCTGCTGCTTCTGAACTGATGAGCACATTAGCAGTAAAGACCATTTGCAGATTTAAAAGTCAAACCCTGCCACAGGAAATTAAAAGATAATGCAAGGAATTATTTAAAAAAATTAATCTTTATTACTCTCCACTCCCAAGCTGCTAATAAAAAAAATGTGTTCCTCATGCAGTCTCTATAAAAACAGGTTATAAAGCAGAGGAAGAGAGGAAGGCAGATGCTTTAAAAAGGCATCTTTCATCCCTCTGCCCTGTGTGCCGTAACCATCCATCTGCACCTGTGTGTCAGCTCACAGCAGTTCCCAACCCAACCAGCCCTGGGTAAAAACCCTGCAAGGTAATTATTCCCCATTTCCATCTGGTTCCCCTTGTCCTCCTTGTTTTACATCTCCAGGAGATCAGCAATCCCAGGTCCAGAGAGCAGCCTAGAAGGTGGTTTAATGGCACACCCTCCTCGCTCCAGGTATCTCCGAGCCCTGTATAAACCAGGATGAATTACAGCTCATTACAGAAAGGGCAGGCACTTGGGAAGTAAACAACACAGCTATTACAGATGCCAGCAATAGCTCCACAACACCGGAGCAGGGCTGATACATGCAGGAAACCATGCCTGAGACAGAGGTCAAGGATGCTCTGCAGCTCTCAGAAGCCAGTGAAGAGGCTGAGAGGGAGGTGGCAATTGCAAGAGTTTCTTCAGAAGATGCTCCTCTCTAGGGCTGTGCTCAAGAAAGAAGCTCAGTCCTTGGTTTTCCAGCTGGTGCTTGAGCCCGTGGAGCCAGAAACAGGGCTGGAAAACCACTTCTGTGTCATGACATTCAGCCAGGTTTTGGTAGGTCTGAGAGCCACCACAGCTGAGAAAGAGCACGAGAGAGATGAAGAAGCAAGAGGCACCGAACCCACCAGCTGTGTCCCTGCTCCAGTAGAAGGAACAGCCACAAGCACAGACCCACATCCCACCAGCCCTCTGGCCAGCCCAGAAGTGTGCCTGGCCTGGGCCTGCCCAGGAGGAGCCCCATCACCAGTGCTCCTGCCAAACTGGTGCCCCTGGGTCTGGCAGAAACACCTGGCCAGGCCAGGAAGGAGCAGAGAGGACTTCACAGAAGGAGAAACGAGGGACCAGAAGCTGCTGCATCGCACCACCAGCCCAGCATGAAAGATGATCCCTTTAAGTGCTCCACGCCCAGAGCTGGGGAGAAGGAGCCAGTCCCAGTACCAGCAATCCCCAGAACATGCCCTGATGGCCTCAGGGAAGCTGCAAAGTCCAACCTCTTTCATCCCAGATGAGCAGTACAGGCACCTCACAGGCAGCACACAGCAGGTTTACCAGGACAGGCATCTCCACACCTTCTCCTCATCGGGGATTAAAGGAGTATTTGGCCTTTCCTGACTCCAGGAGAGGGAGACACATCTGGAAATCAAGCACTGGCGAGGAACACGTGCTGGGGGTGGAGGAAGGAGAAAGGTAGAAACACAAGCAGGCTCAAACATGAGGAGGAAGAACCCCCCTGTGAGGGAACGTGCCGGCAGCGCTGCTGTCTGGGACACCTGCGGTCCCCAGCGGGGACAGGAGCACAGGGGGACCTGCCATACAGAGAGGCAGGAGGTGGCTTTCGAGGGTAGGTTGACTATGATTGATGGTGCTGTGCTGTGTTCTCACTGATGTAGAAAATTAGAGAGAGATGGCTTCAGATCCCAGCCCACCCAAGACACTTGTTGTGTCCATCTCAAGTACACAGCTCCTCTCCTGGGAGCTCTGCCTCTGGCTTGTAGGCTCATTATTCAAAGTGCTGAACTGGGAAAAGCAATGCTATTTTATTCTTACTTTTTTTCCCCCGCAACTACTTTGATTGTATTATTCTTGAGAACACATAATGCGCTGATTTCCTTGCTCAGCTACTTGAGGGAAAGTTTGTTTGAGCCTCCTTGACTAGGAAAAAGTAGCCCTTCACTTTTTTGTTTCTCTCTTCAAACAAGGCAGGGAAGAGTCTCTAGAAAAGGTAGGAGCCATTTTTTTCAGATGGAAATAGCTTCTTAAACAACAGTGAGTCATGCTCCACACCAGGATGGATCTGATAGCTGGTAACCACAGCGAGCCTATTGTCCTCCTGGCAGGAGAGTCCCTTCTTGCCTTACCTGCCCTTTAATATTTAACCAGTTCCTGGTTTATTGTGGCTGCTTTTGTCCTTCCACTGAGTCTCTGCTAGATGACAGAAGAGTTTTAAAATGGTCTTTAAGTGGGTTTAAAAAAAAAATCCTTGTATGCTTCCCTATGAAATGATGAAGCCAGTGGTCTAGATCACCACAGACAGGCTGCTGGGTCTTCAGGAGGTGTGTCACACCACAGATCAGGACACTACTGGGCCCTTGCCTTCAAACAACGCTGCCCCTCAGTAGCAGGCAACCAGTTTCTTCCCAGCCAGGCACAGCTTGCATGCCTTTAGTCCCAAGGTTTCCAAGCTGGTCTAGAAATGGCAGAGAAACCTCTCTGACTGTTGCCCAAACAGTCCCTACAGTCCTACTGTAGCCAATCGCCTTCCTCACACAACCCAGAAGCTCTCAGGCACCTACACCAGTCCAGGGAGCAGCACAGGCTCTTCCTCTTGTCTAGAGGAGACTGATGAAGAGGATGGATGTAGGAATGCTCACCTCTGGAAAGGGCGGGGAAATAGTTCATTTCCCTTCACAACTCCAAACTCAGCCCCTGGTTTCTCCTGACAGATCTCCAGCTTGGGGCAGCTGGGTTTGTTCCCATGGCAAAAGGACAGGTTTTTTTTTTAGCTCTCGGGTATCTCAAAGGTGGATTCCAAACTTCCCTGCTTTGAAGCCTGCCACCAAACAGGGATGTCCAGGCTCCTGAACTGGGAAGCTCCTCCCAAAAAGACAGCAGCTAAACCCAACCCTGCTTGGCTCCTTTGCTGAAAGGACATTGGTGCCACCAGCTGCAGCCCTGCCAGCGCTCTGAGCATCCCTTGGGTCACAACACACGAGGGCTGGCAACAAGCAGCTAACACCAAACTCAAGCCAAAGCCTGAAGCACTCAGGAAATCCCTAAAGGAAGGACAACTTGGAACAAAGCATCCTCTCCCTTCCTGCCACGTCCACCAGAGACTGAACCTAGCTCGTGTTACCAATTTGCCCAGTGGTGGTTAATCATCTGGCCTCTGAAAATCCCTTCTGGGGGTGCAGAACAAATCCGAACACATCTCCCTCTTTCTCCATCTGCTAATGGCTTCCCTCCACCCAGGCTGAGCCTCCCCCAGCCTGAGCTAATGGTAGGAAATTAGCATTAGAATGATAGTTTGCTATTAGCAGTGCCTCAGCTCCCCTCCACGCTCCGGGAACAGCAAATGACAGGCTCCGATTTCCCCGCTGCGATGCTGGGGAGAGAGAACAACGGCAGCCAGAAGCGCTGAAGATACTCAAGGAAAGTTTTAGGCTCATCTTTCCCAGCCCAGCAGCCCTTTCCCTTCGCCATCCCCGTCGTGCTCATCCACCGCACAGGCAATCCTACAAACAGATGGCACCTGGGCAGGAAAGCAGACAAATTGGCTCCCACCTGCAGGAGCACTAAGAGCTTTCAAAGCAGACGAGCACTCGCTCGCCAAGAGCCCCGCGGTGTGGAGATGCCGGAGGAATCTGCCGTCGCTCGCCTCCCTCCCTCCTCGCTGCTCCACGGCTCCGGCTCCATCCTCGCCCGGTTGCAGGCAGGCAGCTGGCTCCTCCCGGGAGCTGGTGGCAGGAGGGGACGGTCGGTGTGTCCCGAATCAGGCGCCTGGAAGAGGCAATTCAAGCTGAGCACCAACGGAGCGATGCTTTGTGTCAGCACAACGCTCTGGTTTGGAGGGCTCACAGATAGCCTGGAGCGAGAGGGTTTTCTTGGGTCCCCACTGAACATCCATCTGCTTGTCAAAAAAACAGCTCAGCTCAAGCTGCCTGCTCTCTCCTCCTGCCAAAGAGGGGGTCTGCCCACCCAGAAGGTTCCCCTACTTGACCAGATAGCTGTGGCAAGAGCATGGAGACACTCATTTCATTTTCTGCCTGCCTGCTCCTCTGAGCCCACCTGGCTGAAAGCTTCTCTGCACATCAAGGCCAGGGAAGCAGCTCGTGTACCTCACTGCAGAAAGCCAAGAGGCAGGAGAAGAGCTCAGCAAATTCATGGCTGTCAGGGCAGGCTGTCATCTCTCTTTGGGTACCTGAGCGACCCTGCAGGGTTCCACAACTCAGAGATGGTGAATTCCTCCTTGCAGAGCCCCAGAGCTCTGGTCACCTGCAGCAGGGGAAGGGGACACAGCGAGGCTGAGACATCCAGGAGCAGTTGGGTGCTTTCAGTGCATCTCACATGGAGTCACACACAACACCTCTGGAAAACTCCAATCAAAATTACATTTTAAGCCCCCTGGGTAAGGTCAAACGGTGACCAGTGATAGGTCTCAAGGGAACAGCATGAAGCTCTGTCAGGGGAGGTTTAGGCTGGATATTAGGAAAAGGTTCCTCACTCAGAGGGTGGTTGTGCACTGAACAGGCCCCCCAGAGCAGTGGTCACAGCTCCAAGCCTGACAGAGTTCAAAAAGTGTTTGGACAACACTCTCAGGGACAGGGTGGAATTGCTGGGGTGTCCTGTGCAGGTCTAAGAGTTGGACTTAATGATCCTCGTGGGTCCCTTCCAACTCAGGATATGCAATGATTATATGAAACCATCCCCTCCCCTCTACCTGGATCAGCAAGAAAAGGCAAGTGTTCTCCAGCCCCAGCCTGCCAATTGCCTTGTAATAGAGGCCTAGGAGGTTGGGATGCAAAAGGGACAGGAAAAAGGATGGTAGTAAAAAGCAGGATAAAACAGTTTCCCCCTTCTCCAGCACTCCCATCAGCAGCTGAGACGTGGGAGCGAGGAGAGGGCTCGTCCGATGATGGATGGCAGAGAACTGATCCTTGGTAAAGGCAGAACAGGAGCAGAAGGAAACGCTGCTCCCAAAGGCGATTCTCACACCTCCTCGGGATAAGAAAAACAACCATCAGAGGCAGCAGGAGCTCTTCTCCCTGCACATTTGGAATTCATCTCCAGCCTGTCAGGGAGGCCACGGTCCAACCGCGCATTTGTATATTCACTGAGCCGTACCCCCGGCTCGGCACACTCCTGACAGATGCAGATGGGAAAGCCATTTTTCATAAGGTGAGGAGAAAAGGGAAAAAAAAATAAAAATAACAAAGAAAGGCTCGGGCACCAGCTGGAAAAGACACAACAGGTTCAGGGCTAAGAGAGAACCAGAGTCAGATTAAACTCTTGGATCTTTAAGTGCAGTAAGAGGCTGGTCCCCTGCCTGTTTTCTAGTGTGGCCTGGCAGCAGCAGCAGCAACAACCTTCATCCTCTCCTCCATAACCAGCTAGAAAATGGAAGCTGGACCCAGAACAACACTAAGCTTTGCTGAACTGACCCTGGGGGACAGAAGCTGGCAGAGGGGCTGCTGGAGCAGGTGGGCACAGGCACACTGCTGCAAGATCAGCTGCTGTTCAGAGGAGGTGAGAGACAGCCTGTGGGGGACATTACCCTTTAACATACGTAAGTCTGCCCCTCAGACCCTGACCTAGCTCAGACCTGGCCCCTGAAGAACACAAATGGTCCCTGAAGGGACATCCCTGGCAAAGCTGACGATGATATAAGTGTGCCAGCATGGCAGAGGAGCACTCTGAGCAGTGCTGCCATGGTGGCAAACACGGCAGCTTCCAACGGCCCCAATTTCTCTCAGACAGTGACAAGGGGTTTCCCTTTGTCCTGGGTCACCACGCAGCCAAGAGGCATCGGTGACCCAGAGCTGCTTACCAAGACAGCAGGAAAAGTGAAGCTCAGCACAGAATGTGTTGCCCCCTGAGCAGCATGTGTGCATGGCCCACTCGGCACCGGGAGCCAGAGGTTCTTGACATAAGCCAAGGGGAAGGGAAAGGAAGAATTACCCTCACGGAGGGAAAGATTTCACCTCTGCCAGTGACATTCTGCTGTTGTCACCGCCAGGCATAACATCACCCTCTTGATGTGAAATCTAAGTTGACAGTGACACAGGAAAGGAGCTGAGAGGGCAGCAAACTCTGCCCAGCCCTCTTTGTAACCCCAAATCTCCCCTGGCTTCCAGCCTCTGCACCGAGCAGAGCCACTACCTCATTATCAGGTTACTAAGAAAGTAGATCTTCCTTTTTCAGAGCCATAGAATAATATTTTCTTGCAGTTATCCATCATTCTTGGCAACTCCAGGGAGGATTTCATTTTGGCCTCTGTTATATCCTCATTGTTTCTGAAATGAGAAACATAAGGGCCGACACCTCCTTTGCAAAACAACACACACAGCTGTAAGTCACCAAAGCTTGAGGAGCTTCTGGTGCCAAAGTCCATGTGTCTTCAAACTGACTGGAGGTGTATGGAGCCTGTGGCATTTCTAGATGATATTCCTTCTCTCTGTCCCAAGAAAAGGCAAGCACAGGGCTGGGCAGCAAGGCTTGGAGAAGGTTACTGCCGAGACCTGGCAGAAATGTCATCCAGCAACACATTTCAAGAAAGATTCATTCCCAAGCAGCCTGGCTCCATAATAAAAGTGTCAGAGCAGCTGACTTGCCTCCCCCCAATCTCATTGCCTCCAGATTTATCCTGTCTCAGGTCTCTCTCCCTCCATAAGCCAGCACGTGCCTTTCCTTTCAATAGGCTGGCACTGAAACTCAGCCAGCTGAGATTGTAGGAGAAAAGGGAATACAAGCCAGGTGAAGGCATTGTGGGGGGAAAAATGCTCAGGAGCCAGGTTTTCCTCTCATTTTGGCTGCACTCAGTTCTGAAAGGGAGGAGGGTGATGTGAGAGGTACCTTAATGTGAGAATGCTCCAAAACCAGAAGCCACATTTGATTTGGCGTTCCAACCCAATTCCCTGGCTGCCAGGCTGCGCCGCCTCCCTCTCAGGAAGCTCAAATCCCATTCCTGATAAAACCCATCCCAGAAGGTGTGAATATCTCTGAGCCTTCACCCTCCCAGCCAGGGAGCCCCTTCTCAGAGGGCTGTGCACATGGTGAGGAGGTGCAGAGAGAGGAGAGATGAGGCTCCTTGGGAGTCTCTCAGAAAACTGAGAACCTGCTTACCTTCACCACAGAGACGTGATGTTATTGCAGCACCACAGGCAGCCCCCTAGAGAGAACGGTCTGCAGGGAGTTTAAAAAAAAAAGCAGAGAAAGAGATATTAATGGTCCTTTGCAAACAGTTAAAAATACCCAGAATAGCCAGAGTTTCTGCTGGATTTTTTTTGTTTGTTCCTTTTCTCCCCCCACCTCCCGCCCAAAGGAATGTGCCACACAAATTAAAACGATTTCCCTCTAACCTGCAAGACAGGACCAGGCAAGGCATCCTTCAGCTGTGAGTGAAAGAGATGGAGCCTGCCTTTGTCAGGAGCACGCCAGCCCCAGGGAGGTGAGGTGGTGGGGGACGGCAGATGTGGCTGCAGGGATCCTGCTGGTTAATTCCCAGTAACCGGGACAGACAGGTCTGTGCCAGCCACCCAGCTGGGGTCCAGGGGGTGTTTCTTCAACATGAAGGAGACATCAATAGCAAAAGTGAACCCTGGGCACCTCAACTGCTCTGGGGGGATGCAAAGTAAGAGCAAATGCCTGCAACAGCAGGCTGTGGAACAGCTTTCCATGGAGCAGAGAAAGCCTCCACTACCACTAAGGCAGTCCTGTTAAAATTGCAAAATGTGTTGCAGGAGGCAGAGGCCATGATATCTCCTGGATCTATGAACCTTATCCCCCAAGGACATCATTTTCTGGCCCAGGGTATCCATTCAGGTATGTGGCCCAGCACCCATTTCTCCCTTTTAACTGAGAGCCACTTTGCTTCCAGCAGCGAGCGCTCACAGGCAGGGAAAAAACCCCAAAACAAACCCACCCCCACCAGGCTCTAAAAGCGCTGCTTTGCTGTGTCACAGCTGTTCCTCACATCTGGATGCAGACAGCACTTAAAGACTTGCAGCTGGCACCAGCTCCTCCATTAGCATCTCCCTGTCCTGTTAACGCCAGGCAGGCGAGAGGTCTGGCAGCTGAGGTGAAGGGCCACTCCATCTCCGTCAGCTTCTCCTCCACTAATGAAAATGTTTCTCCAGCGTGTCCTCGGGAAGGTTTCCTTCAGCTCTGGCCCCCCTGTGATTGAAGGCTAATCTCTGTTACTCTTGGCTGAATGGCAGCCCACAAGGAAGGTGATGTATTGTATTTCCCTTCAACTCGACACTGAGTGGTGCTGGGCAAAAAGAAGAAAAAGCACCACATGTTTTGAAATTGTAAGTGAACTCCTCCCAAAATGCTGAGAGAGAGGTCAGGGCAGGAACAGGGGCCTCACAGACTGGGACTAGAGTGCACCCCTATAAATCCAACCCCATTTTGAAGGGTCACTTGTTGTGCCAGCATCCTCCCTCCCAGAGCCAGTCCAGCTGATGGCAGTGGCCACAGGTGGAAACATGTCCTGCCTCCACCCTATGGGACAAGACTGGCCTCCAGTGAGCTCCCCAACATCAGTCTGGTCGGCACAGGGGCCTGGGAGAGAGGCCAAGGTCTGGAGATGGTTTGGAGGAGAGCGTGAGGGCTCAGCACTCACAGGTTCCTCTGGCTGGCTCTAAACCAATCACTGAAGCCTCAAAATGTAAAGTTTTCCAATCTGTGGTGCTAGCTTCCTTTGAAAATGCTTGGAGATCTCCTGTTAAAAAAATGGAGAGAAAAAATTGGGGTTACAATCCTCTTGCTGGTGTGCTGGTCACTCTCAAGGAGACACCCAACTCCAAGACACACTTTCTCCTCTGCTCCACAGCTTTGCAGACACACTCCAGACCATCCCCACCAACTGCTGCTCCCCTGCTGTTGTTGCCCTCACTGGAACAACCCAATTACCCATCATGGCCCTCTTCATCTGCAAAGCTTTGCAGCTCTTCTTCTCTTTTTTTTACCCCTACAAAACCACTAGTATTTGTTGAGGACACACAAACACAATACAGACTCTCCTGTTTGCTTTCTCTTCTTACCCTGGACCACACAAAACGCATCCTCCAACAGCCAAACCTGGAGGAGGATAAAAAGGAGAAATTACGAAAACAAACAGGAGAAAAAAAGGAAAAAACTTTCAATTACTGGCAATTAGTTCTACTTGATGCTCACCCACTGTGCCCCGTGCTCCAGACACAAATCACTCTGGCAGGTGGGCATGCAGGGTGGCACAGCACGTACCTGCACATGCAGCACACAGGTGAGCACACGAGCTGTTTGGTGAAGGGATTCCAACCTATTTGTTCACCTCCCTGGGCACAAACGGCTCCAGCCCTTTTGAGGGTCTCCTATAGCCCAGCTAAATCCGGGATGGTGCTTTGCTCTGCTCCCGTGAGCTGCAGCCCAAGCCCTGGGGCAGAGCCAAAGGCATTTGCTTGGAGCAGAAGTCCAGATTACCTGAGGGATGTCCATCCTCATTCCCAGACCCACCTGCCCAGGTTTTCTGGCTGGTTTCTCTTCCCAGGAGGGATGCCAGCTACAGAGAGCCCCACGGGCTGCCTGCTGACGCAGCTGCAGACGGCGCAGCTCCGACCAAGAGCCTTCCCCTCCGCGGGAGGACACGCTCTGTTCCCAGCCAGGGGGAAGGCGGAGGCACCCAGCACGCTGCCGCAGTGGAGGAGGCACTCAGCCAGCCACTAATGCTTCCTACTGTCTCGGAGCAAAGGGATGAATTAGCTTTTATTAGCTCTTACCAAGAGCACATCACTCCTGCCCTTTCCTCCTCGCACAAGGCTCACGCACAGGCTCAGCTGTGCTGCAAGTGAAGCAGAACCAACTCACCTCCGTGCCGGCGGCCCCAAACTCCTCCTGGGTCTTGTATAAATCTTATATCTCAGACAAGCTGGGAGTTAGGATCGAGCAATGCTCCTAAGGGTGCTCCAGGCGCTGCCCAGAAGTGCTTTAAAAAAAGACGGATGCTTGGCTTTGACATCCAGATCTCTCAGGTGGCACCAAGCATGGCACGAAGGAGGGCATGGGCTCCACACCGGCAAAGCCACAGCACTGTCCTCACTGCTGACACCCAAATTCAGGGCTGCTATTTGGGGGGGTGGTCTGTGATCTCCTGTGCCCCTGACTCCCAGCACCCAGCCAGCAGACGGCTGAGGGATGGTGCTGCTCCAGAGAACTCTCTCCGGAGGCGCTCTGGGGCTTGTTAGCGGGGTGATAAAGGGGATGAATGGCCTCAGAGAAACGCTCTGTCTCCTGCTGTGGCATTCATTATCCTTTAGCCAGGCAATTCTTCACACCAGCCAGGAGCTCTGGGCTGGCTCGTTTATCCTCCTCGGGGGCTGTTTCCCACAAGAGGCCACGCTCTGCACTCGCTGGTCGCCCCAGGCAGCTCGAATGTGCCTGAGGAACCCACAGCATGGCAGTGGAGGCTGAGCACTCCTCCTCCTGGGTAGTCTCTGAGCTCATCACCTTCCTCCCACACAACCAGCTTGCTTTCCCAAACGCACAATTCCGTGATCCGAGCCACAGCTGCCCCCCGCCCCAGATCTGCAGGAAACAGAGCTGGGCGCGTTTTCAGCCTAGTTTCCTAAGAAGTGCAAAGCATACGCAATCCTGCTGCATCAGTCTGTCCTCTGCCCACTCCCCAGCAACTTCTGACACTGCAAACAGATTTCAACCTGATGTGGCAGAGAAACAGAGGTCTTGGAGACAGTCAGAGTCTATAAATTTCATGGGAATAGACTATCAGAGGAGAGACATTATTAGCACCTTCCAAACTGTAGTGTATCATCCCTTATTAGACATCAGACAATCTGCGTGGGAGAGAGAGAGAGGCTATAAATATCCCAGGAAGGGGAGATGCTCCATTCAGCAAAAACAGCTTACTAGACACCAGAGACTCCAAACCCAAACTGTATATCTGCAGGACATGAGATCTCATGGATCCCACTGCACACAGTACTGGCTGGAGAAGGTTTCAAGCCTTTTCAGGTCATAGGAGAGCCAGCCAGCTAACATGCCATGTTAGCCCTTGAAAAGCCCCTGAAAATGGAATGTGTGCCCTTCCCTTGCCCTTCCTCTACTGACCAAGCCAAGGTCCTGCTGCATTTCCAACTTTAATTGCCATCCCACACTTATGGTTGAGTTCAGCTGCTGCCTAAAATGGAAGGGACACACCCAGCTCCAAGGAGGAGCACTGATGGGCTGACCAGCTCCCTTTTCCCTACAACCCTCCCATTGCCTCTGTGCCACACTGACAGAGATTTCACCTTCCAGCAAGATGTTTCATCCACAGGCTGCTGCCAGCAAATGCCAGGAAGGCAGCCCAGAGTCCGAGCAGCCGCCCCGTGAGCTCTGAGCAGGATCACTTACATGTCAAGCTACCCATTAGCAGGTTGACCGATTAGTGGCACTTGCTGTGAGTGAGAGGGAGCCTGTTCCTCCACACACAAGTCCTTGCTGTCCACCAGACCCACACACCAGCTCCCATACGGATCTGCAAGCTGGAGCCAGCAGCATGGCTATCCTTTCTCAGCAGGACAGAGGCAGCCACAGAGACCCTTCCTCTTCCTCTTAAAGGCTGAAGGGGGACACAACAGCCTCTTGGTTCTCCTTTGAAGCCAATTAAAGTTCACATATCTCAGCGTGTGATACAACCTTTGGAGAACAACACCAAGAAGCCACTGACTAGGCCTGCTGGCTGGCCTTCCTTGCTCAGCCCCTTCCAGTGACCTAATTAGGAGACCCTTGTTAGGCCGTTCCAGGGTGGAATCCAGAGTTGCTTTTGCCAACTCCTGTCCCTCTTCACCGCTCTCTGATATGGGGAAGTTTAAGTACACCTGGCAAGGCAGCAATGGTGACCAGAGCTTGCTGAGGCTGAGCTCAGCATTTCAGGGTTGTCTGACCCTGCTGCAGGAAAGTCAAACCCTATATGCAATCTGCAGACAGAGCAGGGACCTGTGCTCATTTGGGATCTGCACTGACCCAGCCGTTATCTGTTCGCAGTGTCATTTCCAGCCTCAGGCCTTCCAGAGCCCTGGAAGTAACTGGGAAGTGAGAAACAGCCTTTTTCCCTCCAGCTGACACGTGGTGACACTGGCCCAGCTGGCCAGACTCATTTTGGGACTTGAGTGATTCACCCAGCAAAGGTCAAGTCCCAGGAGGTGCCATCAGCCTGGTGGATCACGTATCGCTTGTACCTGCGGGGCCTCAGCTCCACAAAAGGACAATTCAAACATGCACTACAGCACATCCCTTATTCCAAAAAAAAAAAAAAAGGATTTACACTCCAGGGGTGCTTGACTCCCTGTTCTGCCCAACAAAAGGAGTGATGGGGATTGAATCCAAGCTTATGTTCACTAAAATAGAAGGGAAAAAAAAAAGAAAGAAAATCCAGAAATCCAGTCACTCCATCCTAATTGTTCTGATCCAACCTTTCACAGTGTTGTATTGAGCTAAAGGGCCGCACCTGAAAGTGTGCCAAGAGCGGCATGAAATGTTAATGTTGCAATTAAAACAATATGAATATTGCAGCACCGCTCTGCTGCTCCCCATCCACTGAACAATTCTCATTCAATGGAAGTCAAGTTACATTTCAGGAAATAATGAGGTCTACTAATTAAGTCTGGCCTAGGAAGACAGCAGTCTTAAAAGGAGGAAAAAAATATTCAGATCTCCCCAAAATGTGTACATTTGCTGCTTATTACCTGCAAAGGGGAGTCATTAAGGCTGCTCAATGCCAGGATCACAGGTCAGTGCCATTGTCTTATTGCACACAGCTAGAGGAAATTCTCTTTTTAACGCTAAAACTCATAAGTCATGACCTGCCTTGGCCCCAAGAGCTGAGCTGGGAATGCCGGGCTGACACATCCCATACTCTGAATGCAGGAAGCAGGTACCTGACAGTGAATGCCAATCCCAGGCTGGGCTGGAGAGAGGCAGGATGGGGCTCTGAGGGGCTGAAGGCAGCAGATCACATTCAGCTGACACAGGACTGATCCCAGACTGTACACAAGGAAGGGATTTTTCCTCCCCAGCCATCCAGACAACTGAGTGACAGTGACACTGGCTTGAGCTGGTGGAAGCCACAGGGAAAGTGACCACTGGGTCAGTCCTGGAAGGATAAAGACTAGTCAGGATCATCACTGATGTTTTAAAGTTTTAACTTTAAAAAGAGGCAACAGAGAAAGCCCCCCTTCCTGCCCCCTGCATCCATCAGCTGCTGTCTGAGACACAAGCACACGTTGCAATAACGTGAGGGCACAGAACAGCCTGGAAATCAGAAACATCAGGTCCAGGGGTCCCAAAGGAAATTGATATCAACACACTGCACCCACAGCTTCCCTGTCTTCTTGTCTTCCATCACCTTCCCAAATCTCTTTACCTGTGACAGTGGTTGGGGCTGCCCCTGTGTCTCCAGTGTTCTCCCCAGCCCAGACAACTGCAGGGGCAGGGAGGGTCCCTCAGCAGGAGTGTTTCATGGGAAGAGCAGAAGGTTGGGAACAGGCCCACCATGTCATCCTGCTGATTTGGCTGCCTTTTCTATTTCTCAGAGTTTCAGGAACACACAAGAACTACTCATCCTCCTGGCCTGAGCTCTGCCATCAGACCCAATCTTACTCACCAGCGTGAAGTTGTCTAGGGGACACAGAGCAGCTTCCTGTGTGAAGAGGAGGCTATATCAATTCAAAACTCTCCAAACCCTTTCCTAACTTACTTCCCAAAAATCCAGCAGAAAATTCATCCAATGGAGGGGTGAGGGAGGGCACGGGAGTCCTGGTTCATTCCCTGCCCACTGCTGACACTCCGAACTTCAGCCTGTTTTTAATACAGACAACCCTCCTGGTAAGATCCAGGCAGAGACTGAGCCACACTGACCAAACCCGGCAACACAAAGATCCCAACCAGGAGGAGCTCAAACCACCAGGAAAGAAACACTGCATTTTAAAGAGGAGAAAAATCCAGATGAAAAGATCAGAAAGGACCTTCCAGGCCCTGGATTGCCCCAAGGGATTTAGATATCACTTCTATATTTATCTGTTAGAAATAAACCTATCTGGTCACCCAGGCACACCCAGGGGATGCCCCTGCCCTGTGCCCACCAGCAGCAGCTCGCTGTGGGTGGGTAGGTGGTCTCCTCCCTCCAGCCCCCTTCTCACTCCATTGCCAGATGAACCAGCACTTGCAGCCACCAAGTGTCTGTTCTGCAATAAAGAGCAATAAACATGCCAGAGTAATTAATG